CATTGGCAACGACTCAGTCTTGTTTGCCACCTCACTCAGGGTATGTGGGCAGTATGATGTGAGGCGTCATGATTTCAACTGACCATCCCAATCTATATTCAGCTTGCACGATCGAAGTCAGATCCTGTGGTGGACAAATCGCGCGTTTCTCTGCTCTGGTGTGACAGATATGGAGACGACGCGAACTGCAAATCGGGGTTCGCCAGCCGAATCAAAGGCGCCGGTGATATGGTCGTCATGCCTGGGTCACCTATCTTGGCTCGCTCTGAGAAAGAATTTCAGCTTTACCCCTTCAAAGCTCTGATTGATCCATCTCGATCGATTTCTCGCTTCTGGTGGGAGTTGGAACAGGATGGCAGAGCAGAAGCTCTAAATATCGACAATGAAGGAGAAAAGTATCCTATTCTTCAAGACGACATTATATATGTGACGCCACTCTCCTCCTTCTCAATACGAGGCTCTGGGAACTCGACGGTATCCCCGTCATTCACTTTTTTCATGGTTATCGGGGTAAGTTTTTAGGCGTCCTTATACTCACTTGATTAATCATACTAACCCACCATTTTGATATCTAGGTTCGCGACACGATCGAGCCCATTAGGGCGTATCTTGATATTTTCGACTATGCATATACTGGCAGACGACCCGGATCCGTGACCAACGAAACTTATGATTTTGTACGCAACACATCCTTGACAGGTGCGCCAGGGTACGATCTCTATTCTGCTGTTATCAATACCTCAACTGGCGGGGGGGCAACCTTCGACTTCTTTGTTGAGTCCCCCGGGAAAAGGTCGGCATTAACATTCCAACATGCACCGATGGGTGGTAGCATCCCGGATGCTCGCCTCATCGTAGACCCTGGAAGTGTAGACAGAGTTCCCTATAAAGGCCCTCCAGTCTCAGCAATTTCCACTACTAGCTCTGGAAGTACACCGACACCGTCCGCGCCTGTTTCTGCAGCTGTTGCCACCGTTGCGCTGTGCTCGATTACGGTTTACGCGCTTGTCACTTTAGTATTTATATCAGGGTCTTTATTGTTGTTGTAATTTGCGCAAATGCTCTCGTCGTGTATAATTAGATTTGTTCATAAAGCAATTCGATGTCGAAAGGGACCTGAATGATTTTAGATAATTTTGAGTCGCATTCATGAGTTTGCTCAAAGTATTCGGATGTCGAACCTCTAGTACTCTTCAACCGGTCATTCGACATCTCGACGCCAGTCGGAACCTGAGGAATACACCCTTGACTCACAATGCTAGTGTCATCCCAACTGCTCGAACTTTTAAAGAGCAGACGATTTGCCGACGATGCGATGGGCAAAGGACACTCTGCGAGTAAACAAATGCAAATACTACTCCATCACTCATGCCCTCTTGACAAAATATCTGTGCTCCTTTTAAGACTGCCAACCTAGTTTTCCTTCTACGCTGAAAGACTACGCCCTTCCTGAAACTATACTTCTTTTATCTCCTGAGCTGTAACAATACTTGACTAGGCTACTTCGCACCTGGGTACGACTTCTTATACCAGGGTTGTGCTAGGGTGGCATCATGGTTGATTGCGCTAAACTTTCGTTGGGTTTAGCTCAAAAAGCGCTGGCCACAAGTGACCCCATGGTTTGATGCACATTATTATTTATGTATCTTGGTTCAAGCAAGAAAAGGACAAAATCTAGGGATACAACAATGATGCAATGCTCTACATACGCCCAACTCTCACCCCGACATGCCCGAATGGGCGCTCGTGTCACATAATCCTTGTTCTTCATCTTATCTTCCGGGCTGTCACCATTCACGAGGACTCGCACGACGGATAAAAACTGCCAAAATATTCAACTGCGGGAGGCCACCGCAGCCTCAGGGTACTACTCGAGATGCTGGCATACATACATAAGTCCCCATTTTCGTTTTGCGTTTGGCAGCTTTCTCCGGCTTGGATTTGTATCTATTCAACCACAATCAGGCTCAATTAAATCATCTGAAATACAACTTTTCGGGGATCCTCGCCACCGTGAGGCGATGTTTGGGACATATATAAGCTCTCGTGCTGGTATTATACACCCCCTGCGCTTCAACCGTTGCAATCGGTACCAAGCTTGACTTGATGAAATCTTGCTCGTCCCCTTACCGCTTGTTGCTGCTGCTGCTTCTATCTTTCAGCCCAAAACCGTTGTTGGTCTCGGGGTATAAGTGGCCTGGCGATCCTCGCCATGACGCACTGGAAAGACTTATCTACGAGGGTGTCAACCCCGCCGGAACGAGTATGTTCGATCTGCTAACCAATTGCACCTTCCTCCAAAGGGGAGAAAAAGGCCAGATTCAAGGCACTACAACTGCAGCTACCTGGCTACGCATGGTATGTTTGCACTCCCGCGATGTCCTACAGGTCTGATTGTATCGCCCGATATTACAGGCATACCATGATTCTGCAACCTTCAACATCACAGATCAAACTGGGGGTCTTGACGCTTCGATTCATTTCGAACTCGACCGGCCTGAGGTAATTTACCCACTTCGGGGTCAAAAATTCACTTTTCAATTCTTGATAGAATATTGGGAATGGTATGCTGTCAACCCGAAACGACTTCAGTCTTTTCCCCAGCAAATACGTTTCCAGTGAGTCTGAGCTTTGGAAGGTCATCTCCGTGTGCTATGACTAAAAGCGATTAACAGTGGCCGATATTATTGCTTTTGGGGCGGCTGGTGCTGTGGCCAGTTGTGGAGGCCCTATCATGTCTCTACGTGGCGGACGTGTTGACGCAAAGCAAGCCGGTAACCCTGGTGTCCCAGAACCACATCAGGATTTGCAAACACACGTCGAAAAATTCCGGCTTCAAGGTTTCAATTCAACAGAGATGATTGAGCTCGTGGCTTGTGGTCATACCTTCGGTGGCGTCGAAAGCAAAGACTTTCCCGACATCGCGGCTCACCATGTCAACGGACTCGGTGCTTTTTCCATTGCTGCTCCTTTCGACAACACGAGTGCATTCGATGTGGCGGTGTATGGTTCCTTCATCTCAGATACTGGAGCACATTCTGACCACGTCCTTTTAGTGTTTCCCAGTATCTTGACGGCAGCACGCAAAACCTATTGGTTGTCGGAAAAAATGTAACCACACGATCTGACTTCCGGATATTCAACAGCGACGGAAATGTCACGATGAAAGCGTAAGTAGTGATATAGCTCTCATTTCATCTATCCTATACTCATGAGATCCTTATAGTCTATCAGACCCTGCTACCTTCCAGAAACGTTGTGGCCTTCTTTTCGAGAAAATGATCGACACCGTGCCTGCTGGGGTTGAATTGACCGACCCCATCGATGTCATACCTGAAAAACCCCATTACTTCACTGGTCTTAACATTGGCAACAACTCAGTATCGTTCTCCACCTCACTCAGGGTATGTTGCTACTAAGCTTGTGAGCCGTATTATCATTAAGTTGACCACCCCAACCTTTATCCAGCTTGTGCAATCGAAGTCAGATCCTGTGCTGGATAAATCACGCGTTTCTCTGCACTGGTGTGACAGATATGGAGACGACGCGAACTGCAAATCAGGATTCTCCAATCGAATCAAAGGCGCTGGTGATATGGTCGTCATGCATGGATCACCGATGCTGGTCCGTTCTGAGAGAGAATTTAGGCTTTATCCTTTCAAAGCTCTGATTAATCCATCTCGATCGATTTCTCGTTTCTGGTGGGAGTTGGAACAGGATGGCGGCGCGGAACCTCGACACATCGACAATGAAGGAGAAAAGTATCCCGTTCTTCAAGACGACATTATTTATGTGACATCGCTGTCTTCCACTATTTTCCCTGGCGTTGGTGATGGTTCGGCAGTATTCACGTCATTGCCTCTTTTCATGGTCGTTGGGGCAAGTAATCTTTCTCATGCATACTTGGTGAACCATACTGATACAACATCGCGATGTATTATAGATTCGTGATACCATCGAGCCGACGAGGGTGTACCTTGATATCTTTGACAACACACATACCAACAGACCACCAGGATCCGTGACCAACGACACTTTTGATCTTGCGCGGAACACCTCTTTGACGGGTGCACCAGGATATAACCTCTATTCTGCCCTCATAAATCCCGACATTGGTGGGGCGCCAACCTTCGACTTCTTTGTTGAGTCCCCAGGGAAAAAGTCAGCGCTGACCTTTCAACATCAACCGACGGAAGGCAGTATCCCGGATGTTCGCCTTATCGTAGACCCCGGGAAAGTAGAAAAAGTGCCATATAACGGCCCCCTAATCTCAGCAATTTCCACTAGTAGTAGCAGTAGCAGTACACCGACGCCTTCCATGCCTTCTGCGGGTTTTGCCACCTTTGCGCCGTTCCCGATTATGGTTTGCACACTTGTCACTTCAATAATTGTATCTGGGTCTCTATTATGATAATTTAAATAAACCTGTCCTTCTTGACTAATTATATACACTGATAAAGCGGGTGCCCAAGGGGCCTGTAATAATATCAGAATCAAACTGCGTCTTGTCACTTACCAGTCCCCGCAAAGCAATGTGAACTCTGTGTAGGCGCTAATCATCCAATTGACCGGAAATTGCCGTGTCCTCCACTACCCCCACAACTAATCCTGGGGTCCATCTTTCCGGAACTCTCAATCGAAACTGAATTAAATCCCCAAGCACAGAAGGGTTATCAACGTATCATGACGGCGGACCGTACCCATCCTCGACAGAGATCATTATCTCTTTTTGCTGGTACTCAGAATGTCCATCTCTCCGAGCGCCGTCATTCTTTAACTGGTCGTTATGAGGGAAAAGTAGTTTTAGATGGTGGAAAGCATGGCTGAACATGCAAGAATAGCATTTGTATGGCCATTAATAAGTGAACAACCGAATAGATTAAAATGCAGAACGCGCTTCAAGAGAGCAGATCGAAGCTGTTCTGCAAAAAATGGGGAAAATTACTTAGTTGAGGCAAACTTGCAAAAATTCTGCATAAAAAAGATCAAAAAATACATCTTGACCCCCACCCGGATTGAACGGATGACCCTGAGGAATTACCAGAGAATGGCTGGAGGACGGATCGATCGCAACCACTCGGAACTGGAATCTCATACTCTACCACTGAGCTAGGGGGTCTTGTAACTGTCGTGGCAATATGCACACTTGATCTGCCACGTATTTCTGGATTATTAATTTAGCAAACCCAAATTATCTCCGTACTGGAGTTTCACTTGAAGAAAATACAAGCTGCCCTGAAGACTCTCCTTGTTCATGACATATTTGAATCAAATGACAGGCCTGAACATCAGACTCGCAGTAAACTCCGACGATGTGAAATTTGGGCAGCAGTGGAAGGAACAATACGGGTATTACATGCAACCCGATGACCAAGGTAGGTCAGTATCAGAGGTCTGTAGAGAAGGAACTGCCCAAATGCCTTGGATATACTTGATTCAGACTGGAGGTAAATTGAGGTTTAAAATCCTGAGTTATATGCTCAGTATACCCTATTGCTCCTGTCTCGAGGAATGCTACAACAGGCAGAATGAATGAAGCCTTGCAAAGACCGAAGTCCCATTTTTGGTTGCCAGCTTCAGTATTCATGAATTTCCTTGTAATTTTCCTGGAGCTGGATTTTTAGGACGCAGTAGATTATTGCAATATAAATGGTAGCATGAGATGAGATTGAGATGGTCGTGGTCGTGGTAAGAGGCAGACGCCGGAGTCGTGATCCGCTTCCTAAACGGGGGACACGTTGCCAACACCTTTGTTTACGACGTTCACCACCAATATGCCACCTTCGTCGCTGGCACGGTCATCGTTCTTCACACTGTTCATCGTTATTTCATGTCTGCTCCACTCTGTTTCTGCTATTAAATTTGCCCTTCAGGCATACCGTTACCCCCCGCAAAAGTGTATCTGGAATGCAGCACGCGCCAACTCCCTCGTCATTGTTACTGCAAATGTTGGGCCAGGAGCAAACCAACGCGTAGACATTGAAATTGTCGACTCGGGTCCCAACCATAATGTCTACTTGAGTAAACGTGGCATCAAAGCAGAGTCCCGTCTTGCAATTACCACACACGCTGATGGTGAAGTTGGTGTCTGCCTACGGAATTATATTGACGGAGGTACAGTGTGGCATCCAAGTTGCTAAAGGTTGTCGTGTCTCACCGCAATGTTCATTGTTATAGATATTTCTGGAAAAGACGAGAATAAGATTAGTCGCATTATCGACCTGGACATCGATATCGGTGCTGACGCTGTGGATTACAAGTGCGTCAATAACAATACACGCTCCTTTTGAAGGCTCATTCTGAAATCATTATTTTTACAGTGCCATTGCCAACCAAGAGTCGCTTTCCGGCCTGGAGACTGAAATGCGCAAATTGGAAGGAATCGTGAAGGAGATTGTTGATGAGATGAGTTACCTCAAGAGGCGTGAAGAACGGTTCTCAAAGACAAACTGTCAGTCCAATTACCATGCTGAATATTGGCCAATTTCTGACTTGAACCCCTTGAAATAGATTCCACCAACCAACGCGTACAGAACTTTGCTTGGTTTACCATTGTCTCCCTTACTGGCCTCGGAGTGTGGCAAATCTTCCACCTGCGTTCCTTCTTTAAGCAAAAGTACCTCATTGATTAATGGATTTAGCTCGTGAATTACGGGTCATTTGCTTGAATTCTTGACGTGCGACCCACTTTGCAATTGCTTGAATAGATTGACTCCACGACATGTACATATATCGTAAACGGATTTGGAATACGACAATACGACTAATGATTTCATTTATTCGTTTTGTGCGGTCTGAAGTCTTTTTGGCTGGGTCGTGTCCGTATACCGAGGTGAGTAATTGCGCTTTCTTGATGCTCCAACGCCAGGCTGATCCAACTGTTGCCGACTAGAAAGCAGCTTCGATGTTTGATTCAAAAAAGGAATGTTCCTTTGCTTTGCTTAGCCTTCCTCCACCTGCTTTGGACACTAGCTTGAAGTTCCTGAACGTGCTCTATTTAACAACGGTGGTCTTATCTGGGTGAGCACCCTTTTTTTGAACTTCGTTTTTACTACACTCAAGCAGGAACGCGTCAGATAGCTGTTGCTGTCAATACCCTATTGATTGTTTGAACTAGAGTGTGTTCTCATAAACCTGTGGTTGACCAATTGGTGTGCTTCGGGTGCATGCATTGTTGATTTATTAGGCAATTGCGACACCTTTCGGAGCAACCCACGTTACCGTGCTTGATTGTCGTGACGACCAGGGCTTAACGGAACTCTTTGGGGTTGATGACTGATGCGTTCATCGTGTTATCCTATGTCTGAAACGCGAAAGGTGTTCAACAGGGATGTGATGGAGGGGTGAATCTACCGTGACCCATTCGTGCTATCATTGTCCTAACCTTGCGTCCTCGCTCTAGGTATCTGTGATCAAGAAAGCTGCATGCTAATACATGACCCACGTCCAATGTTTTGTGAGTGTTTGAGCTGACCTTGTCATAATGTTGAGAAGGCGAAAAAGACTGAATCCAAGATTTCTTTGCGTCAGGATTCCAAAGGATCTGGAGGATTTTAATGTTAGTGTCAACAACAACAAAAAACACAACACACTCATAATTTTTTTAAATTTATGTCAAGAGGCAGTGAAAAAGCTGTAATCCTTTTCAATCTTTCACATCTGACAAGATAACATTTGCACGGTACCATCAGCTCGACGATTGTTACCGACACCACAGGCAATGGCCTTAATTATCTTCGAAATAATGAAGTGGGCGTCGTATGATCAAATAGTATTCATATCAGTCTTATCACTTATCAGTCTTATTGTCCAGGAATACCGACGACTTCGGGTATTGGTGCGGACATGTTTCATCTCGCCTGGTTGGAAAGACGATTGAGGACTGATGTCTGAAACCAGCAGAGAAAGTTTACCTGAGCATGAGACCGAGAGGAGTTTGGGTGGGAATAATTGACAACAAAGGAGCCACAAACCGGGAATTTGGCTCTGCGAAAGAAAAGATCCCAGACACATCGAGCCAGACTTGCGGTGCTATGACACGTTTTCGATGGCTCAGTTAAGCGCCGTGGATATCAAGGTATCCCACTCACCCTCGTTCGTCGTGGGCAGGTGGTGTGGATGCAACTCAGCACATGAGCGGCCAACTCTTTGCGCAATTAAAAGGCATCGCTCGATATAGAAGTGAATCCTACGATATCGCTGTGGTGTGTGCGTGCACCTGCTTCCTTCGCTCGATCAGCCAGCTTCCTCTTATGTCAACACTCAGATGTGATGCCACACAGAGCGTGTAGAGTCATACAGTATACATCCATTGTCATATGAATTTCTCCGGCCGGCAGTTGACATCCGAGTGAATTGCAATGAAAACCGCACGTTTTTGGGTGCAATGCATATTTGTGGGCGAAACGTCAGTACCCTGGGATTATATCATCTTTATATACCGCGAGCGCGGATCTCTTGACTCAAGTTCAGCCGTTAACAATACCGCATAAATGCCCACAAAGCCACAACACTGCCCACACATCATGTACCAGATTATCAACTCTTATCCAGTAATCCTCGTCCCCTTTTGCGTATTCCATTTTGCGTTTGTGGACACTTGGCAATTTTAAAACGACGTGTACGGACGGCAAACTCGGTTGTGATATAAACGGACTTTCAAACGACTAGACTGAGCTGCTGTGCGTCTCGTCAACCAGCAATCCGAAGAGCACCCCACACAATGCCCTACCCACCCAAAAGTAAGTAGAGGCAGCCCCAGAGAAGCAGCAGACTTGTCTACCTCGGACGAAATTCCATGGCCCCTCTCTTAGGAGTTGAGGGAATCTGACAAGTTTCAAGCAATTCAAATTAAGCTACCGCTTCCACGAAAATAATATGGGAAATGCTTCTGTTGGGTATAAATCATTGTGTGGGTATACATGTTGGTTGTGGTCGTATGTATGTAGTGTCATAAAATATCAACGATCAAAAATCAAAATCGCAACTTCGTACAGTCTGATCCGACGAATAACCATCCTCTGTCTCTGTGTCCTCCCCACTATCCTCCTCGCCGTCAATCCAAAGCTCTTCAACAAATTTACTAAGCTTCTTGTAACCACCCTCCAGTTTTCCTGTGCATCGAATAAATTCTAGGTGTTTGATTTCCCAATCGAGTGATGTTCGTAACTTCAAGTGTTTTTTTAGCTTGAGGGGCAGGTGTGGATATGAGAGGTTCATGTCGGCCAGATGTAGGTCGAGGAGATGGGGGAATGGCATATCAGCGGGGTCCGTGTTTCTTCGAGGGTGCATGAAGGAAAGAAAGATATCAAGCGTATGAACAGTGTGGAGCTGCAGTGTAGATATGTAGTCCATTTCGGCGGACCAGCCTGTCCTGAGGAAAAGCCGGCGCATGTATTTAGCGCAGAGGTTGGGCTGCACTCTGACGCAAAGTGCAGCAGGGAGACCGCTATCCGTAGGGTCTTCGCGGTACTGAACTAATGTACTGGTGTACTTCTGGAAAATCTTGTCAAAGGTAGTGGGCATATGGTTGGGGTCGCGATCCCAAGATAGGGTCAATTGGATTGTTGGGGACGACATGGTCTCCATATCACCCTCAATTCGAAGGAAGAAAAGAGTTTCGCCCAAATCCAAATGTTGCCGGCCAACCATTGGATCACCTGCCCAGCAGTCTACTCGATCCTGCATGAAAGAAAATATCTGTTTTGTGTCTTTCGATGTAGCCCCCACATCAAAGCAGGAGATGATGGTAGAGCAACTGTCCGGAATCCTGAGACGATCCAAGATGCCAGCACAGAAGGACGTGTCGGAAGAGATTGACAGACTTTGAAGGCTTGACAGATGAAGGCCACGCTTTTTTTGTCTTTTTTTGTCTAATGGAATGGGATGGTCCTTCCGTGAACAAGACTGCCGCTCAAGAATGAGATGCTCTAGCTGCGTCAGTGTCCCAAGGACAAGAAGAATACCCGCTGCGGACTGCTGAGGGATATTCTTGACGACAAGGCTTGTTAGATTGTGTGATGTGCGCGGAATAACGAAGGGGAAATTGCTGAGCTCCAGGGTCTGAAGCTTGGGTGCCTTCAATAAGGCCTTATTTAGCTTCAAAAGCGGCGTTCTCGA